TTTAATTTTTGGGTGTACTATTTCTTTAAGAAAAGCTCTTGTGTTTGTTTTTAGTCTACACCCTGTTTTCTCAGCAATACCCTGATGCTGCGTGTCAAAACAATAGCTTGTCCACACTTAAATAAAAAAATCCTGCAGATAACCTCCAGCGATATGCTGTCTAGATTAATGAACGGTGAAAATTGCACTTTTACGTTAACTTCTGCAACCCTGACAACCTGATTTCATTTTCTCTGCCCCTGTTAATTACAGGATATCCCCCAGCCAGGCTATAAAATGATCAAGCCATTATTAACTATCTTTGTCTTCTTTTCCGCTCCATTTTAAAAAGACCATTTAAAAGTTTTAATTTCCCCAGCAGATTGTTTTTTTTGTTGTTTTTTTGCAACAGCAACATGTCTTATGAATAACATAAAGCAACAAGTAGCAGTAGCAGCAGCAGCAGCAGCTTTTTGTTTGCTGTTGTGGAAACAACGTCTCCACTATCAAGAAATCCAGTCACACCTGTGCATTTTCATTTGCATTCGCACCCAGTAAAGCTTTGTTTAGTGAATGCGCAGAGAGATAAACAAGAAAGATGCATTTATTAATTAATTAATAGAAGTAGAACACCTGGAGGAGAACAAACGAAACGACTTACAGTGATGTTGACCGTGTGAAACTCATGAAAATATGTCCAGAGGCCAGTTGCATAAGCATAGTCACCACATTAAGACTGTCTTAAGAACTAGTTTGACATAGCAGTTCACAAAGTTTTTATCAGTCTTACTTTACAGATTCAAATTACAGCAATCTAAGTTTTTATGTAACTGACTTAAAAAAGTTATGAGCAGTCTTGCAGAAAAAAGATAGGTGTCTAAATTTTAAGACTAAGCAGTTTATGCAACCAGTCACAGGTCATATTTCACCTCAAAATAATAATAATAAAAAATAATAATAAGATTTTGCAAAAAGAAACTGAAGCTTATTTGAACAGGCTTCAAATGCATTTTCAGGACAATGAACTTAATTATCTCTCCATATTCTCATTACAGTAATGATCAACAGTGTTATTTTCAAGTTTATTCCTAATAGTGTTTGGGGCAGTTGACAGAACGGTCACTTCCTGTGTCAGGCAAGTGCTAGAGCCTGCTCATTCCAAAAAAACATCATTATAAAAATAACTATAACAATAATAAATATTAGCCTCCACATCAATGCATTATGTCGCTTTAAGTGCAAGAGCTCTGTAAAGCAGGTTGGATTCTGATTGGCTGTCAATGTTTTTATCGTTCATCAGCTGAAAAAAAAATTGTTCTGAAAGTGATTCCAGTGATATAGTTCCTTTGTGCTGTTATCGTTATAGCTGTGATGCTATATTCATAGAATTACAGCAACTTTTGAAATGTTATTGTTTTAGGTATCGTTATAGTTATTGTCCTATAGTTATTGGTGTAAACGGACCTTATGTATGAATCTTAAGTTCGTTAATGTACTTTTTAATGCCTGGCGTAGTTTGGTTTTCCCAATTCTTACAAAGTTTCAGCTATTTTCTATATTTTATAGTTATTGTTATAGTTAACGTCCTTGGTGTGAACAGGCCTTACATATACGAATTTTATGTTAGTTGGTGTAAAAAAATTTGTATGCCTGCTGTGCTGTGGTTTGCACTATTCACACAGAATTTCAGTGCTAATAATAATTTTATAGTTATAATTAATGTCCTTGATGTGAATGAGCCTTATGTAATACAAACCTTACATTTGTTGATGTACATTTTCTGTCTAGCAAAACTGAAACCTTTGGTTTTCTGTGTTGTATTGAATATTGTTGTTTTGTAAATTCTTCTGATGTAAATATATCACCAAGATAAAATGATCTAGCTGGCTGACGTAGATGACATTAAAGGAATGAGTTTTTGCGTTACGGTAATGACTACTGGCGGGAAATGTGACTAACTGTCATAAAAATAATGGGAAAAAAATTATGCAACAGATCCTAATGGGGCTGAAAATGGCTTAATTTTCTTAATACAAAATCTAATTGATCACTAGTTTTATGCTGACGTGCAGCGTGTGCCGGTGAGGCCGCGTGACCCTCAGAGAAATGGCGATTACTATGTGGGCGCTGAGCATCAGTGTCGTGTTTCATCACCCGCACCCCGTCTCAGCGCACAAAATGTCACAGACATCAGAGAGGGGCTTAGCTGTAAAGAGTAAAGAGATTCTATCGTTTTTGTTCCTTTTTTTTGCATATTCATACTCTGCCTGGACTCATTTGAATTTCGTATAAAAAAAGCAAAGAGAAGCTTTGTGTTCTTTCCTGGTAGGCTGAGGTGACAGTAACGCACCAATAGGGAGATGGCATGGCGGTGGCTCCGCCTGTGAAGCGAGCTCTCCCTTCCAACAACACCTGGCTGAGTTGAATAACACAAACGGTGGAGCGAGCTGCTGCGTGTTTCACGCATGACCCTGTGCATGAACTCATTATTAATAAGAGCTACAAACTGCCTCGTCTCGTTTACATCTGCAGTAGATCTCAGATGTCTGCTTGGCTGCACTTTATAGGTTGTTTTTTCTCTATCTATATGCATGAGGCTTTAGTTAACATTGGTGTTTGGCCTGCAAATACCTGTTGACCATTTGTTACAGGGGCCATTTTTGGGCTTTTAGCCATTTTATTGATTTAGACTGTGAGAGAGCAGACAGGAAACATGGGCGTGTGGAGGGACAAATCGGATCAGGAAATGACCTAACCTGGATTCAAACTCGAGTCTCCCACATACACAAAATGTCGAAGCACATGCTGTACCCATCAGGCCATGCCGCTGACCTTTTGTAGCAGTTTGTTTTTTCCTGAAGTCTGCATGCAATGTTATTCAAGGCTTCTCGCCATTTTATTTTGTGAGACATTTCCACCATCTCTGTTCTTTAGAATTAAACAGTCTGATTTTGCTTCTATACCTTTAAGACTTCTAAATGTAAATGACCTTTGTTGTGATTGGCTAATTTTTTTGTATGTGAAAACTGGTGAAAAACATACTGACAGCATTGGTATGTAAATGAGCTCGTTCTTATTCTAATATCCTCATGGTTGTGGCATGTCAACCATGATGACTGATCTTTAAATGACCCTTTCATTTCATAACATTATGGTTAAGTAATATCACAAGGGTGTGAATGGCCAAACCGCAGCTCTGCAGATATTCAGTACAATAATCCAGTTTGTGAGTGTGATATTGCTTTTAGTGTTGTCAAAAGTACCGATGTTGATACCAGTCAGTATTTAAAAAATGGCCAAAATGCTAGCGGGGAATGTCGGCATTGTCACATTTTTAGAATTTCAGTACCGACTGGTACCGACATCGGTACTTTTGACAACACTAATTGCTTTTATACAACAGTTCTATATACAAGAAGTAAAAATTCAGCCCGTTAGTTTGCATATTTTTTATCTGCCAATGAAAATAGTTCCAAATAAAGAAAAAGATAAAGATTTTATTTGCGAAGTAACGCAAGAAAAAAACAACATAAATGATAATAATAAAATAAAATAAAAAATGGAACAAAGTATGTGAGTGGCACAAAAGCAGTTTCACATTCCCGCTCAAAGCATTCTGTACTCAGCTCCGCTCCAGGTTTTCACAGTCCAATCACAGCTGAGAGAAACCCGTGACGAGCGATCCTGCAGTTTTTTTTCCAGCAATCTTTCGCAAGCTTTCAACAAACCCCCTCTTCGTTCAAGGAAAAAATCACACAACTCCACTTTCACACCGCTCAATCTTGGAACGCTTCTCGGCCAATCAAATTTGAGGACCGGAACTAACTGTTGTATGATATCGTTTAGTTTTTCTGATTTAGAATTTCCTATGTGCTTTTGGTTTTAGCTAACCATTGAAGTTTTGATGTTTACAACTGTACAGTTTGGCATTAGTTAATAGGAGAGATGACATTTGCTTACATTGGTTTAAACCAGAGCTGTTATTGTTATCTAAAACTAAAACTATTAAAAGTAATTTATATTAATTGAAAAAACTTAAATAAAATATAAATAGTAGATGGAAACTGATGGAGTTGAAATAAAATAAGTTTAAGATAAAGTACTAAAATTACTAAATTTAAATTTTTAATTTAAAAATTACCAAAACTTAACCTAAAATTAAAATGAAAACTGAAATTATTAAAATAACAGCTAATTTTAAAAATGTAAAATACTATAAAAGTATATAAATATAATACTAAAAGAACACTGGTTTATACAACTTTTGAATTGCACAAATATATATATATATATATATATTTCAAGGAAGTAGACCAAACATAAAATGTCTAAATTCTGCACATTCTTTTATTGTCTAGCACAAGAAATCCAACACAGTCAAAAAAAAGCTCTAAAATTAGAAACCGACAAGGAAGACAATTACGACAGTATTCCCTGAGCTGTAAGTGCCTCGCTCAGGAAATACAACACAAATGGAGACATTTCCTCTCGAGTGTGGCTATCTGAGGGCAGCATCACGTGCCAGCCATCTTGCAGCTGAATAGATTGTATTCTAGATCCGCCCACCTCACAAACAATTTGCAGCTAATGGATGCATTTTGTGTGCTTGTTATACATCGTCCTCAAGGAATTGATGCGCTTCTGAAATTTCCCTTCTGCACTGAAAACAGTCCTTTAATGTGGCACAGGGGCTTTTGTTTGCTTTTGTGCACTCGCCACGCTGGTCCGTGTTTTTAACTCAGAGATTTCAGACGTATAATCTCACCATCCAAGTATGGCGACGAAATAAGAATAAATTAGTGAAGCACTCTGTTTGGAGTACATTTGAATTTATTCCAGTGTATTCCAGTGTATTCCAGTGTATCATGGTTGGTTTTACAGCTTTGAATTGGATATTTCAAAATATTTACATCCAAATTTGGCATAATAGGTGTTTTTTAGTGTGTTATGGGTGGTTTCTCATATTTGTTCAGATTCCCACTTGTCATTTTGACTGAAACTTTCATATTCGTGTGTTTCAGTGGGCATCTGGAGAGCCTCCTGTTTCCGCCTCCTCGTGTTGCTTTACTACCATGAGCAGTTCCACTCCATCCACAGGTACTGTCTGTTCCTCAACATCACTTCCATTAACAGTCTAGACATCTTTAGAGATGAAAGAGGCGATTTGACTTGGCCTTTCTGTTGAGTCATTCATACTAGGTTTTACCAAATGAAATCAAAGCCATCCCTGTTTGTTTAATAAGCGTCACTGTTCACAATTCACACCAAATGTGTTTTCATAATCATTTATGAACATTTAATAACTTTCCCTGCCTCTGAAATGACTTCTCTTTTCTGCTAATGTAACCAAGAGTGTACAAGTGGGACGAAATAACACTTTATTCTGATTGGTTACAGCATTGTGCGCTATAATGTTCGCTAAATGGCATTCCAACAATTGATTTAATATATAGCAGCTGTGCTAGTTTAGTGTCTCTCGTATCACTTACATAATAAAATAATTTAAACTCAAATCAATATTTCATGTACATTTATTTATTTTCTAACTAGCCTAGTAATAAGGAGGATAATGTACAGTAGTACACTACAATCAGCCGCTCATTATCAAATAAACCTCCGTTTCGCCTCAGGGTCCCGATCAGCATGCTGAGCGTTTTTATGATCATTTATGTATTAGCCAGATATGTTATGAATATGAATATTTTGATTGGTTCAGAAATCTTACAAAAGTAAAAAAAGTTAAAATTTTAGCGAACACTGTTTCTTTCTTTATACTTTTCGTGTAAAGTGTAAATTAGCCTATTCAGACTGTTTGGCATCTGAATTTTGAGGATTTGTTATGAGATGAATGTGCGTCTACAGATATGTTGAGGTAAAATCTTCTTACAGTCTGTTAAATTCAGTCAGTGTCATGGACAATGGCTTCTAAAAATCATACTGATACAAAATTTATGGTAAAAATAAATTCTTATTGCTTTTTAACCTTTTTTGATAGCACTGAAAATGAACTCTTCAATGATGGTGAAATGGTTGGCGAGTGTATTAGCTGTTATTTGAGCGTCTGAATGGAGATAAAATGGAGGGACAGAATGAAATGACCCCATCATCTGCTTCCCATCTTCTCTTACCCCTCTCTGTCTTTTATTTTCTCTCGCTCACTCATCCTCCCCCTGGTAAACAATAATCCTTAATATGTTGTTGTGCTTTGGAAGGGGAAACAGTGTCTCTGTTATTTTGGGAGTTTAAAGAGGAATGACCAGGGATAGCCTCCGGACAGCTTCTATATTTAGATATTTTCTGCTTCTCATGAAAGCTGCACAGTGAGCGCTTTAAGACGTGCTTCTGCATTTTAGTGATCTGGTGAAATAGTTGCAAAATGATGACTTTAAATGTGGTCTAGCATTGAATGGCTGGTATGATTTGCAGATGCATGTTGTGTTGTAACTAATCCAAAAAGGAACAGAGATGCTAGTATTGTTTTGAAGATCAGGGTTTGCACTTCTCCATGAAGTACTGCTGTTTCTGGCATTTCCCATGAATCATTGCGTTTCCTTGGCGTAGTCAAGGTTCAAATAAACCTCCGTTTCGCCTCAGGGTCCCGATCAGCATGCTGAGCGTTTTTATGATCATTTATGTATTAGCCAGATATGTTATGAATATGAATATTTTGATTGGTTCAGAAATCTTACAAAAGTAAAAAAAAGTTAAAATTTTAGCGAACACTGTTTCTTTCTTTATACTTTTTCGTGTAAAGTGTAAATTAGCCTATTCAGACTGTTTGGCATCTGAATTTTGAGGATTTGTTATCAGATGAATGTGCGTCTACAGATATGTTGAGGTAAAATCTTCTTACAGTCTGTTAAATTCAGTCAGTGTCATGGACAATGGCTTCTAAAAATCATACTGATACAAAATTTATGGTAAAAAGAAATTCTTATTGCTTTTTAACCTTTTTTGATAGCACTGAAAATGAACTCTTCAATGATGGTGAAATGGTTGGCGAGTGTATTAGCTGTTATTTGAGCGTCTGAATGGAGATAAAATGGAGGGACAGAATGAAATGACCCCATCATCTGCTTCCCATCTTCTCTTACCCCTCTCTGTCTTTTATTTTCTCTCGCTCACTCATCCTCCCCCTGGTAAACAATAATCCTTAATATGTTGTACTTTGGAAGGGGAAACAGTGTCTCTATTAATTTCAGAGTTTGAAGTGACCAGGGATAGCCTCCGGACAGCTTCTATATTTAGATATTTTCTGCTTCTCATGAAAGCTGCACAGTGAGCGCTTTAAGACGTGCTTCTGCATTTTAGTGATCTGGTGAAATAGTTGCAAAATTATGGCTTTAAATGTGGTCTAGCATTGAATGACTGGTATGATTTGCAGATACATGTTGTGTTGTAACTAATCCAAAAAGGAACAGAGATGCTAGTATTGTTTTGAAGATCAGGGTTTGCACTTCTCCATGAAGTACTGCTGTTTCTGGCATTTCCCATGAATCATTGCGTTTCCTTGGCGTAGTCAAGGTACAGTCGATCTTTTTTTGATATAATGCTTGATTTTGAGACTGAATCGCCAAAGCCAGAAGGTGTAATTAGAATGCAAGAAAGTATTTTGTAGGATTTAATGTTTAATGGTTTTGTCTAGACTGACTAAACACTATAATTTACATAATAAATATATTAAACACATGATAAATACTAATATTATTTATATTCATTACGTAATGATTCATACATTGGCCAATACCTGTGTCGACTTTGGAAGTTCCAACCAGATCTCAAGAGAAAATGCAACTATTTTGCATTTTATTGAATTGTTTGCAAATTCGTATAAATTCATACTATTTAAATTAGGGATGCACTATATTATCGGACCTATATCAGAATTGGCCGATAATGGCTTTAAATGTAAATATCGGCATCGGCCCGATATGAAACATTATGCCGATATGTCTTGTCGATAAGAGGAATACGTTAACTCACATGTGCTCAGGGTGTGTAGCGATTAGATCACGTCAGCATTGTGGCTTATTCTTGAAGCAAAGTTTTGCCTGAATAGTGATTGGATTCACTGTTTTAGATCGCTGCATTTAAACTGAGAATGCATGTACAGAATGTTGTGTTCGGTGTGTGATAAGAGTAAACAGTAATAGCACGTGCAGCGGCAGCCTCCCCCGGGTCCTAATGCCCTTTCGGTAAGGAGTTTTAATTCCGTAGGGGGCACTGTTGGCCTACTTCTAATAAAATGAAAGTAAAATACACAAATAATATTTAGACTGTGTTTCTGATTAAATAAAGCAGTAATTGATGTCATAAAATCATGAGTATGTTTTGATTTAAAGGTTAGAAGCTATAGCTTACACAAATAAAAAAATCACAAACATGACACTTGTAAATTAATAATTCTATATATATTGATTTATTCATTAATGTGTAGTATGATATATTTTTAAAACAAATTATGATTTCTAAAAGTTTTTCAGAATTTTTACAACTCTTTTGCTTTAGACCATCTACAAATGTTAAATCTTAAAATAAAATGTTAAGGTTAATACTGCATCTTTCTGAAGAAAAAAAATGCAGCAATTGATATATAGTTTATTTATAGTTATTTTCAA